AAAAATTTGCAGAATCAATGTAAAACTATCACTAAACATGATCTACAATTTCTTTACCAGCATAAGGTCCCTTTTCTCGTGGGGAGCGTCACATATATAGATTTAGACTAATTGTTTAGTTAATTCAATTTAAATTAATTAATTAATAAAAAAAAATTTTATTTTATGTTTAATTTTTCCTCACAAGACAGGTTGACTTGTTTTCCATGTAACGAAATCATTGCTAAGAGTTCATCTGTTCGGGGTACAGGATATGCGCAACATTCATGGATGAGCACGTGCTTCCGGTTCCTTGGGTTTTACTCCATTTTTACATCTGTTTGACACCAGATTTATGAGATAGTAAGAGTTCACAGTTCAAAACTAAACTTGACATCGCACGACAGAAAAATTGACAATTTTTTTTTTCTTTTTTTTTTTTTTTACTCATAACGAAAGCTAACAGAACGACCTTTAAGAGTACAAAAGAGAGAGGGAGAGAGTGAAACAAAATTGAATTTATCGGCGTTATTATACGACTGTCCTAATGAAACTACAATTTCGCTTTTTATAGCCATCTCAGTCGTAAATTACTTCAAACATTAAGTAAATAATTTTTCACTTAAGGTATAAATTCCTCTGCAATTACCGGAGAGACGCTTTATAATTTTTATGTGTCTTATTTTCTAACGATCATTTTCATATTTGGCGTAATATATAACATTCTCATTTCTGATATATTAAACTTCAAAAGAAATTAGTGAAATATTTGAAAGATTAAAATTTTTTTATTTCAATTAATTTTTATAAAAAATTATTAATTCGAACAATCAAATTAATTAGTTGTCTATGCAATGTATCATCAGGACTTCTATATAATTCCAATGAAAAAAGAAATAGATTGCACAATAAGAAATTGTGAAAAAAGTGAAGCTTTTTTTTTGCCTGAGGCGAACATTTTCTAAAAGATTCATAAATAAAAATAGGAGCATTTTTCGATTCGTTTGTTATATATATAAAAAAAAAAAAAAAATTCGTCGAAAGTATAAAATTACCATTTCTAGAGGAGATCATAAATCGAAAATTTAAATACCAAAAGGATAGGTCCCGTATTATTTCATAGACTTTTTTCATAAATTCACCTGTTGAAAAGGCCTTTATTACCTGAAGTTCTATTAACGCGGCACCAACCTACCCCTCAACAGGGAGAATACTAATTGAATAGAAACGCCTGAATCTACTTTATGTGTTCTCCCACAGCCTATAACTATCCCTATAATTATTATACTGCAAGACAGGTCGCTTAAATACTGCAGTCAATATTGAAGGCTATAAACTTCTTCTCACAATTTAACCTCATCCTCAATCTTTCTATTTATCCGTGATTGACGGACGGCATTTATTAATTTTTTTCTTTTTTAAAATAATTTGTTTTATATTTATTCATTCTATTTCTAATAATTTAAAAATACTTTTAACAAGGTCTTTAATGTTTTTAAATATAAAAAGAAAAGAGTCTTTAAAATTTCCTATACACAACTTCCTCAAATTAGGAAATGCTCTCTTTAGCAAACTTAATTATTTTGATAAAATCATTATAAGATACAATTTCTTCATATATGATTCATTTCCGTGAGAAGTTCCTGCTCTTCATCATATCATACGCAAGTTTCAAAAGATCCATTATAACTTTTGAGAGAAAAGTTTTACGAGTATATAGCGTGTGTGATACGGGGGTTTTTGAGACTTGTAATTACGAGATTAACTCATGACACGTTCCTCATAAGATTCTTTTTATAAAAGCCGACGATGGTGTTGAGTTTAAAGACACATATTTTACTCTAACTATACAAAGCTATACTGCTATGGTTATAGAATTAGTGCTTCAGATTGGGACATATGTTTTTAGAAACGCAAACATTCTCAGTTTTCTTTTTCTTTGACAGTGAGACAAACATTTTCATAAACTATACATATCATAATATATAAAAGTCCTAAAATCTACACCATAAGCGCCCTTTTCCGCGCATGGGAAATTTTAAACTCAAATTTCTCAGAAGAAAAGAAAAAAATGTTATTTATTGCATTTCTGTTAGGAAAATATCATTTTAACGTGAGACACAACCGTAGAAGTAACGACAAGGCGGAGATAAACATAAAAATTTCTTCTCAAAAGAAGTCATTTTCCTCTTCGATCGAGAATTTCCCTACCAGGGGTAGTTTAAGAGAATAGTATTAATGGAAACATACAACTATTAAAAATTACTAATTGCAATATTATGTACTTTCCTATAATTAACCTAATTTTTTCATTAACCGATGAACACTCCGTAATTGTCTCTACAGAAACTTTTCTCAACAAGTAGCGTAAAAGTATAAATAAAAATTGAATTGTGACTTGTAAAAGTCGCATTGTGTTTGTGTGTGTGTGTGTGTTTTTTTTTATACAAGTAAATCTTAATTACATTTCGCGGAAATATTAAAATTCTACTATTATAGTGTGTGTATATATATAGTTATAGAGAATATATTGTTGAGACTTCTGCGCGAAATTCCAGAGACGCTTCCCTCCTATAGCATAAAACCTACAATCCATTTCTTCTTTCGTAGCATTTATAGAGCCAGTCGAACATGAAGTAATTAACGTTCTCTCTGAGGCATTCCAAACTCTTTTGCAAACTAACACTATTTTGTATTATTAACTTTTTAAATTCTCAAGCATCGTTCACAATATTCCCAAGTCAATCATTTTCTTTTCAAATTTTGAACGTTGACATAAAAAAAAGAAAATTGGGGCTAATTTTAATTTTTAGTCTTACAAAAAATGTCAAATTATAACAAAATGTCTTAAAATTAAAAAAAAAATCTTAAACTTAGACACCATATAATTGTCCGTATGTGATCCACTAATAATTTTAATTCAAGAAAATTTATTTCAAAGTAGTAAAATTTTATTGGATCAAGAAAATATTGAATCAAATATACGTAACATAAGTTTTCTTGATTCAATACTATTTTTTCCAGATGCGTAGGAAAAGAAAAATTTGTTGCATCAACAAATTAAATTGATTTTATATTGACCAATTTTTGTCGATGAAACCATATTGTTGTATCTACAAATATTTGAATTTTCTAATAATAAAATTGCCCTCATTTCACATACTAAACATCAACAAATTTATACGAGAAATAGGAACAGTGTTCATTATACGAAACATCTGCATTTATAACAGTTTTCTATATAAGAGTATTTGATCTTAAAAACTGATAACAAAAAAAAAAGTGAAAATCTATTTTGACACATAGTTAAATTTTACTAATTAGTGAAAAATTTGTTTTTCTAAAAAATCATTAGAAAATTGTAGTTAATTTATTAATAGCAAAAATTCAGTCTCTAATATTAAAAATATGAAAAATTTGTATTAAAATTTTTAAAGATCATAGTGAAGAAGAAATTTGATGCGCGTAATGCATTTGTAATAGAAATAATGTAACTATAGAATGTGAATAATCTGTACTTTTATAATATAAGATAATACGCCTAATTTCGTACCTAACCGGAAACTCTCATTTCTTTCCTTGCAAAGTCAACCTACGTATATATGACCACATGTTTAGTTCATTACATAATTCATGCTATATATATATGATGCTTGAGCGAATTTTAATGACTCATTCTCCTTAAACGTCACTAGATGACAGATTTAATGAAGATTAGTCCCTTCAGAATGCAAATTTCAGACAGCTCGGTGCCTTGTTTATTTCCAATTTTTCCGTGACTCGAAATCTTCAAGAAGATATGATTTAAAATTTTAAGAAATATAATTGAACAATATTATGTACAAAAAAAACTTTTTGAAAATTGTGAGCTCTAAATTTGAATATTAAACAGAATTATTAAAAATAAAACTAAATATTTCGACAATTTTATTTTCAAAATCTGTTTATCACGTGTTTTTCACTTGCCAATACATGTTTGTATTGTTTCAATATTTTTCCAGACAGGAAAAGCTTCTTTCTTTTTGACCTCTGTTTGAATATAACGATCCATAATGGTGAAAATTATCAAATTTAACGCTCATTTTGTTCTATATTACTTCCTCATAACATTTCAATTTAAAACACAAATTTTTTATTTATAATTAATTTTTTTTTTTTAAATTTACATCAAAACATTAAGAATGAATTTAAATTAGTTTTGAATAAGGTTAAATATTTTTGAAAAATGGTAAACTTAGCAAAAATTTATATTCATAAGAGTAAAAATTTAAAAAATAAAATAAAATATGTCGTGTTCATTATGAATCTTGTATACTTAAAAGCATCAACCAATTTAAAAGACATAAAAATTTAAAAGGTTTTTCAAACTTATTTTATATATATATATATATATATATATAAAAGTTGAAGAAGTCTTTTAGACGTTGAAATGTATGAGTTGTCTATGAAATAAATATAGAGGGGAAAAAACAGTTAAAAATATAAATATATTATAAAGAATCTAAATGTCATTCCTCTTGATTTGAAAACGGAAGAAGCTCTCGTCTCGCTATATTTATCAAAATTCAAGAAAGAGGAAGAGAGAAAGATGCGACGTAAACATCAGCTGTGCACGTCGTAAAATTTTTGCCGATATCCACACGATTTTGTCGGTGACCTACGCGCCCATGCGTATTTTCGCGTATGCATATAAGAAAAGCATGCGCGTATATATATATTTTAAGGGAAGTATCTAAAATCGTTAGAGCTGTCCTCAACGGAGTGCGTTTTTGAGTTTTTGGCAACAGGCCAAAAGATGCAGAGAAAATCCACGTCGCGTACACATTCATGAGAAAAGAAGAAAGAAATATATATGTACAAATAAAATAAAAAAAGATTGCTAAAAAGTGGTAGAAAAAGAGAAATGTAATCTATATAGAGGGGAAGAGACTAAAGCGACTTGCTTCAATTTTTTTTTTTTTTCGTTTTCTATTCTCCTTGGAAAGACTAAATAAAATGGTTGCTTTTGTCGTCTGTTTCAGAAGAGAGACTCATGTCGCGTCGACATTAGCTATTGTTTCGCCGATTGACAGGATGGACGGGATGAAGGCCAATAACTGTTTTGTCCTAGGAATCTTTGGGATCCTGCTTCTCGGGACAATTCAAGGAAGGATCATTCGACTAGGTAAATTAAATATTCATTTCATTTAAATCAAATAAAAAAAAAACCATTTTTCTTTTCAAATCTTCGAATTCAAGTCTGATGAGTTTTTTTTTAATCTATTGAAATATTTATTTATCAAAAAACAATTGAAAATAAATTTTTTTAAAATAATATAATGATAATTGTATTTGAAACCAATAAATAGTTATATTTAGCACTGAGATAAATATATTTTTCCTTAATTCAAATACAATTTTATTTTGGTTTAAATAAATAAATTTCTCTATTTGTAGGTATTATTATTATTATTTTTATAATATAAAATGTATTTTTATATTATAAAAAATTCTAATTGCAAAAATGGTCTTATTAAAAGGAAACCTATATATAAGACTATTAAAGAAAAAAAATCATTCAGTTTTAAATACTAAATTATATTTTCTTTTCTTGTTTTTGAGAGAACACGGCAAAGAACAAATTAATACAGAATGCGACAACGATGACACAGTGAATACGAAGATTTGTAAAGAAAACTTGTTCAGTATATTTTGGTGGTACAAAACGAAGAAAGAAAGCAAAAAAAAAAGTTGGTGCAGACAGCCACGAAAAGAAAAATTCAAAAGACAATTTTAAAAGAAACATTAAAAAAGAGTCAAAAATATCTCTTTAATTTATATTGTTTTAATTAATATATTTTTTTTAACAGTTAAAATACATTTTTTTTCTATTTTGCTATTTTGAATAATTTTTATTCTTTGATCTAGTTTTTATCGGCAACAATGTCAATATATAATGAAATAAAAATTTGTGATAGAATATATAAAAAGGAAAATTCCTTTTAACTCCTAATTACAACGACTGCCATACTTGATAGATATTTATCTTCTAAATTATATGACACCTCAACACTGATGTGATATCTGACCACCGATATATTTTTACGATCCTGTTTCTACTTCTGAATACAAAACGGTGTCGGGCAACTTCCCAGGATAAAGAATATTGAGATCTCAATGTCGAGATCAATGTCACTATAGAGAATCTGAGATCTGCCAAAAAAGAAAAAAAAACAACTACTTTTCTTGTCTATATAGCTTCCTGGTGGTAGGTTACACCGTGTTTTCATGTTCGTATATAATATATACATATATATATATATCTATTCGAAAAAAAATTCCCTTCCGCCTGTTTTTTACGAGCTAAACACGCCTCTAATCTTTAAGATCAACACCTGATTTTCAAGATTTCAAACACCGGAGAATGAGCGTGACACGTTTTTTAACACTATAATACAGATGATCTGTTGATGAAAGCAGCAGTTATAAGGACAGTTAGATGATCCCAAGATTTAGAATAAAATGAAATGCTTTCGCATTTCTCTTCAGCGCAGGTAGGAAAAATCCCATAAAAATGGAAAATTAAGTGAAACATAGGTAAAAGTGATAATCACAAATCGTTAAAAATGAAATTTATATTTATTTTTTGGGGAATTTTTTCAAAAAGAGAAAAAAATAGTAAGATTTGTGTCTTTCTTCTTATTATAAGGGTAAAATTAGAATCGCATAAATTCGAAAGGCAATAAAAAAAAAAAATTGTCAAAAGGAATTTCATGTAAAAGACTTCCAAGTAAGACGTTTTTTTTTTAAGAAGAAGAAGAAAAAAAGAAGAAGCGGTGAGATGCAAAACAGTTTCGATACATCGATAATAATGATTTCCACGAAATTCAATGGAATCAACGGTAAAATCGAACACAGCAAGTGAAACGTGGAAAGATTTAAAAAATCGAGACACGCCACGTAAAATTGAGGATTCCTCGACTTTTCTCTGTCAATGATAATTCTTCAATTCACGTACACATACGTTTGACGACATGCATTACAATTTAATTAGCACGCGAGAGTGCGCATCGACAACTAAAAAAAATGGCGGCATTGATTTTCAACTTAAAAACGTTGCACGAGAATTATTCTAGAATTAAGAAAAAAATCACTTAATTTTATTTAATTCTCGTTTAAAAAAAAAAAAAAAAAAAAAAAGCATTGACCTTCTCTTTCTCATGATACATTTCAACTTGGTTAATAAAAACACCAATAAGTGAGTATATTTTTAAGACAAAATGCACTTTCCCCGCAGACAAAAATAATAAAAGAAATCTCGCGTAGCTAGACACTTCGTAATAATCCGTCAGAATTGAGAATGGGCCAGAAATGTGACTAATAACCACACGTTATAAATATACATCCCTGTTAGAACAAAAAGTTATAAAAAAATTCATTTGGAAAATCATGGAAGCAAAGAAAATTAAAAAGTATTAATTTTAAAAAAAATATCCAAAAAATGTAAACTCTAAGAATTTCTTTAAAAAAAAAAATTGAAAGTTAAAAAGAGAAAAAAAAATTGCCGACTCATAAAAAAAGGGTTTCGTGCAGAAAAAGGGCGGGAATATATTTAGCTTCCGAAAAGGTGTTCGCAGGTAATCATGTGTACACGTGCTATACGTGGACAAATCAATTTACATAATCGGTCAGGATTTAATGCTTTGTAAAAATCAAGGCTTTATAAATTCTCACAAGCGCAGGTAGCCCGGACAGTGGGTGCAATATTCGTTTATGATGGTTTTAAGAACATATACCCGACCCAACCAAAAGTCAAAATTCACATCTGGTTCACAGACCCAGTGACTTTCACAGTCAGTGGTGCGCCTTTACAAAAACGACCCTGATGGGTGAAACTAGATTTTTCGTCGAAATCGTAAACTCTGTGAGAGTCGCACACACGTGCCTGGCAAAAGTTAAACATGAAAAAGTTCTCTAATATAATAACGCTCGTGTCATATTACTCACACAGTGCCGATTATTAAAGACAAAAAGTAACCTCGTTAAAGGGCGCGGACGAAATTTTTATTTCAACGCAAGACAAATCTCTTGTAACTGTATCTATATACATATAACTGACTTCATTAGCCAGAAACTCAAAGTCTGAAATAAATATTTCATACGAACTACCTTTTTTGTTTATTAATATACTTTTTATTCCGTATTTATTTTATTTTTTACGGTTTAACATTTTTTTCATTCATAACAGTCAGATTTAGAATATTTATTATATTATTATTTATAATATACTAATAATAATAATATAATTAAATATTTTTAGTGTTTTATTATCGAGAAATAATTTAACAAAATACTTAAGCGTTCCTATTTAAAAATAGCAAAATTGAATTTGAAATTTTAATTTAGAAAAAAGGAACAATCCACCACTCATTATTTACGCTTCTTTGAGTTCGTAAATGAGCTTCGAACACACGTGCTGCAGATGAACATTTATGAAACAAAAAAAAAGAATTTTTTGTTTTCAATTAACAATTTTTTTTTTTTAAATTGACAAAATCAAATAATTGAATGAAAATAATTTAATAATAATTTGAAATGGACTCAATTAAAATGTGTCATTATTGTGACATTAAACATTATTCGATGAGATATATTTTTATTAATGACGAATATATGAACCTTTAAAAAGTCATTTATCATACTTTTTTCATGTTCGTATATATTAATGGTTGCTTATCGAGAGGAGTATATAAATCACATTGTCATTTTTCTGTGTATATATATATATATAACTGTAACTATGAGTATACATATATGTATGCGTATACTATACGGTGTAAGTTCTATTATGATTGGGCTCAATTGTCCAATTGACCGGTCGGCGTGCACTACATCGAGAGGCTTTAGCAATACATTACTTTATTGCTATATAGTATATAAAAACGGGTCGAGAAATATTGTCAACTACCCTGATGGGCAAACTTTACCCGCACAGATAATCCAAACTCATGAGAACTCCTTTTGTCTATTCAAAAGCGTAATAGCGACTAATATTATATCAATTGAAAGACAAAAAAATATGACCGGACCCGTTTTACTTGTATGTAAAACTTAGTGAATCAAAATTTACACTATTATTATCGAATTCACATTTAGCTCAATTTTATAAAAATATACATCATCGAACTAATTTTTTAATAAAAATTCTTTAAATTAAAAAAATATTTTTTTGATTAAAAAAATCAATAATTCTGACAAATTGCATAATTAAGCTATTGTTTATTCATTACATGTGAAAGTCATCCAGAGACAAAAAACAAAATCACATATGTATTCACTGCGAGAGAAATCGATAAGCTTTCACAGAACATTGCTCTGTTCAGTCTCCTAATTAAAAAAATTAAATATGGAGCACTCATTAAGATAAAATCCTCTCGTTTCATGATCAATCTTTTATTATCTAAAGAAACGTTGATAGATGGAAAATGTAATTATGCAGGTGTGTTAGTCATCAAAAGAAAAAGAAAAAAAAAATTGGCGAATATATCTATGCAACAGGTGAATCCATCAAAAAACTTCAACCTCAAAGAATTCTTCATCTCGTTTTTTTTACCTATCCCTAAAAGATATAAAAGGGTACACTAAAACACATAAAAAGGAATTTTAATTAGAAACTGAATATTTAATTCAATCGTTCCAGAAATTATGAAACCTTCTTAAAATTATTAAATTAATTACACAATTAATAGTCAATTAAAATTAATTAATTTATTAACTTATTATTATTATTAATTTCTTCGATTAAATTATTCAAAAAATATGAATAAAATTATATACGAAAATCATGCTTTCAGGTATATCTTGATAGACTTTTATATGATGTTTTTTTTTTGCATATCTCATTTAAAAACGTTAAATTAATTTTCAGTTTCTGTTAAAATTGCTACATTTAATACTTTTGAGTTATTTAAAATAAACTTGAGAATGTAAATAGATGAAGATAACTTGAATTATATGCGATACAAGAATATGTGAGGAAAAAAGACTTTGAAGGGAATTAAGTTTCTTCTTTTGTGGAATTAATGTCAGCCATTAAATGAAGAGTGGAGCAAACGAGAATATATCGTAACGATTAAAAAGCTTTAGGATTAAAGGACCAACTTGTCTTAAGTGAAGTGTGAGTTT